AAATAGGAGTCGCTGCACTCCACGTAAGCGCTTCCTTAAGAACGCTTATTCCCCATGGAAACCTTGATCACAGTCAGGAAGTTTCTTTTCCTCCCTTTCGAGGGGAACTACGATTACTCTGATTCCATCCCCTACCTCGGATACGTAGGCACAATATGCGAGTCTTGGCGAGTAAACTTAGGACTAATCCTTAGGTCTTTCTATCACTTTCTAACCCTTAGCATATACTCTCAAGCAGATAATCAAGCAAAATAGTAAATGTAAACAAAAGGTTCTTGTAGAGTACTACAGAAGTTTAGGGTGTTAATACCTTGCCTAAGCTTAACCAACCCCTTACCTAGAGCTCTTCCCGCATTGTTTACGATGCAAAAATTAGGTTTTTCTTCATTTGACCTTTTCCTTCGGATAAATCAAAGATCGGTTGTGAATCAAAGATTTGCGATTCAAATTAATTAATAATTTGATATCCTATTCTCATCGCAACACAAAGACTTTATCTAAACTACTAAACAATTATGTTTAGAAGAATAGAGAATAAGGTGTACTTGATACAAAATCAGAGGTACAGGGTAATCACCTTAACAAAGACCTCTAAAAACTTAGGATTTCTAAGATATTCAATGTTTAAGAAATCTTAAGGCTTATTACAATTTACAACATATAACAGAAAATATGTATTCTCGATTGTGTTGCTTATTATATGATCTTGTAATTCCTCCATCCATACAAAAGTGCATAACACTTCTATCCTTCTTGGATTTTCTTCTATATTTTCCCTTTTGATTGCTCTTTGTTGAAGACTTCAGTTTGAATCTTCAATAGCTTATATAGTAGTTGTAGAAGACTAACCGTTGGAAGAGATAACTTGAACAAATATCTTTGATTTTCCATAGTACAAGAGACATTGAAGAGATATACACCAAAAGATTTTAATCCATTTTGTAACATGTTTCACCATTGCGTCTTCCATGTAATCGTGTACTATAGATATTCGTGAAGCATGTCAATTTTTCTTGAGCCTTGTGAAAAATAGATTGTAGCTGGCAAGCTGATTTGACAAAGCAATTTGCTTTGTGCAGTATGAATAACTCAAGCTTTATTACTAATTTTGAATGTTCACTAGAAGCTGATACAATAACTTAGTGTCGAGAAAATATGTTGATCTTCTGATGTTGAGGTCTTCAGCTTCAGAGACTATGCTTATAGAAAATTTGGCATTGAACATAACCTTGATTGAAATTATGACCACCACAACCTTTTAATCTACCACCACAATAACCTCTACCACAAGATTGATTATTACGATCTCCATAGTTCATGTTAAACTGACTAGGAATTGGATAAAAAGTGAAGAGCTTTAGGGAACTAACTCAAGTTGATCTCTATGTAAAACTGGATCTCCAATTAACACGAGTGTACCAACAATAGTGCAAACACGAGCAAGAAACTCAGAATTTGTTCGCTCACCTTTTAACAGAGATCGCAACTCATAGCAAAGTTGCCTCAAATGTGTTTTCATCTGAGTATGGCAATAGGAGTGAACCTTTTCCCAGGATTTCCATGAGTGGCATAGAAGAACAAAGATAGATAGATAGATAGAGAGAGATAGAGATAGATAGATAGATAGATAGAGAGAGAGAGAGAGAGAGAGAGAGAGAGAGAGAGAGAGAGAGAGAGAGAGAAACGAGTCAAAGATGGTGCATAGTAGCATGTGCTCAATAGGGACTCTTGTTCTTCCCAAGGTACAAATGTATGCTTTTTAATTTGTGAATATCGATCATCAACAAAGAGAATTCGCTCAGGGATCTGAGGTGTGACTAAATACTTCACCATTTTTGTTCCTCAAAGAACCCCCTCAACCTGGTGTTTCCATTGACGATAGTTTGACTCATAAAGTTTAATAGAGATCTTCTATTTAAATGTAGTATTAGTAGCGGTGGTGGTCTGATTATGATTCGCTGTGGCTTGCGATAAAGAAGAAGCAATGGTAGTATCATTGAATTCACACAACGGATTAAAAGAAGGTTTTATGATACTATGTCACAATATGATAATCATGAAGAAAGAAATCATAACAGAGTTCCTAACAGAATTCTAACTTAAGGGGAGGGGAACGAATTGAGCTAAGCCCAATTTTCATAAGAAGGGATCCAGAATTCTAACTTAAGAGAAGGGGGTGAATTAGGCCAAGCCTAATTCTCACAAGAACGTATCCAAACCCACATTCCTAATATGGTTTAGGCCAAGGTTTTACTCACTTAGTACTGGACCACTGTGTTAGAAGAGCTAAGGTAAACTGCGAGATGGCCATGTCATACCTGTCCACCTAATTAGGGTCATTTGATCATAATGACTATTAGCTCCTTTGACAATTGCTCTCTGAGGCAGTTGTTCCTAAAGAAGAGTTTAAAACTTCTTAATCGTAAGATGGTCACTACTTAGGAATACATCACATCAAGGTTTATTAAACATTTGAAGACCATCAAATGAAGAAAACTTGCGAGATCATTTAACTTTTGTCCTTTAACACAATTCTCCCTAAAGTAGAGACTAAGGTCTCTAAATCTTAAAATATGACTATAAAGTCTAAAAAACAATCAATGTTCAAATACACATAATTTTAAACCCTAAACCTTGCACTTATGACTGCCATTGACTTAATTGTTAAATGTTTGCAACTGTGTTGCTAATAGTGGCCGGCGCGGCCACGATAGCAGTATAACGCGAAAAAGTTGGTGTGGTCGCTACCCAACGTACAGGTTCAATGTGAAATGAGAAAGCGGGTGGCACGACTTCAATTGTGTGTCTGGTAGCGGATTATATGTGGTTCAAAGCGGCCAATTTATTTAGTTCGGAAAAAAGGGTCCAAAGCGGGTCGGGTCAGATGGTTTTACCCTTGAATTTAAATCGTTTGAGGAAACCCCAATCTTTTTCCTTTCCTAAGTTCAACCGCGACTGGTTTTGTATGTTCCTCCATCGCAAAAACTTCGCTCATTCTTCTATGTTCCTCCATCGCAACGTTTCCTCCATCAAAAGCTTCCTCGCCACTCATGATCCCTGTTCTTCCATCACTCATCATCTTTGTTCCTCCATTGCTTATGATATTTGGCTTTGTTTCATCATCTCTCTTTCTCTCCTTATTTCCTTTGTTTCTCACTTTTTTTTACTTTTAAAATTGTTTCCCTGTCCTGCTTTACTCTGTTCTAAAATTGTTTTCCTTTTCTGCTCTGCTCTGCTTGCCTTTACATTGTTCTATTTCTTATTTTATCTTTTGAAATTTTTGTTCCTACTTAAATATTTGCTCTGTTCTATTTTTTACTTTAATAGCTTTTGTTATGTTCTATTTTCTACTTCCAAGTTCCAACAATCATCACAACTCCTACTACTAATTTTATTCAACCATCATCATCTAATGTTGAATCAGTTGCTTCTTCCTCTAAGCTACACAAACTAACTGGTGTATAGAATGGAAATTTAACCATTTTAAAGACTTGAATAATAAGAGGAGGGTTTCATGTGATTTTTGTAACGAAACGTCTATCGAAGAAATTTTCAGGGCTAAGCAACATCAAATAGAAATAAAATAACATAAGATAGATTTGCATACCAATTCATACATATCAGTTTATTTATGACAATGCCAAAGAGTAATAGTTAGAGAGAAGTTAGCTTCCCGTTTTAAAACGAAACCTTGTCTCAAAATAATAGAAAATAATAATTGAATATTTAAACAGAAGATGATGCACATAACTTGCGAAGTTTTACACATTAAAAAATATAAATAGAACGCTAAATTACAATTTTTATCTAAAATTTTAACTTATTTAGTATTATTAATTCGTCTTACCAAAATATAACCAAAGTTTCACTTTCATAGTGTAAGGAAGCCGCTTAGGTAAACCAATAGAACAGATAAATCAGGTGAAGTACTACAATAAAAGTCCTGATTGTCCTCTATCCCCTTTGGTTCCTGTTGTTGTTATTCAAAAATGAAAGGGACATACCAACTACCAAGGATAGGTTTTCTGGCGTAGACTGTTTGGAACTGCTGAAAGACTATTTCTTGCGTTCCAAGACAATTTTGACGTAAAAATATAGAAGTTATAAAATCAAGCTTCCGCGTCAACGTGACTTTGCAATGCGGTTTTGGAAATAGTAATGCTATTCCAAACAGATGCTTAAGCTAAATACAAAAGTACTTCTAGAAAACAGTCATTATTTTTTTTTATAGGCAAAATGAATATAATAAAATGAGCACAAGTCCTCTAATATCTTCCGAGTCCTTTTATACATGCCAACGTTTTCTATAGGTTTAACTTAAAGACTGTTTCATAACATTCATGTTTTTTTGGGATAGAAATCATATATTTATTTTAATTGAGATGCTACCACAAGTTAAACAGATCCTTAAGGATCATGCTAACAAGTGCACTAGTAGCATTGTTTAAGAAACTGAAAAAAAAGAAAAACTTTGTCTAGGAAATACAAGTAAAACACTCGAAATCATAATAAATACATCAATTTCTATATAGATGTTTCCTTCTATGTTTCTTAAACAATGCCCCGATAACACTTGTTAGCATTTTCTTTTACTTTATAACAGAGCTTTGACTGTCACTCAGTGACACTCCAGCTCCAGCCTCGTCGAGTTGCAAAATCAAGGTTGATTGAATCGATAACAAACATGTTATAGGGGCCTGGAAGAAGTTTAAAGCCTACATAAACACTAATTAATTAAAGTCACTGCGATTAGTAGATCCACGAGAATGAATGTTGACTGCTATAATAAGTTTATCTTTACTATGGCTATGCGATAAGTTAACTAGAACAATAATATGTAACATTAAAAACACTGCCAAACTGATAAGGAAATCTGTACTCAAAATCATGGACACGAATGGAACTTAAGCTAGAATCTAATACCTGTAAAAATTAATTTATGTCCATTTTGGAAGATGGTTGCAGCGGTGGGCTGCGCACCATATCTATGGGCTTCAATACTATGGGCTGCGCGCACCATATCTATGGGCTTCAATACTCTGTGAAGCTAGGTATTCCAGCGCAACAACAATATCACCAATGAGTGGACGGAATTTCGGTTGCTCCTGGAGACACATAGCAGTTATAGCAATTGCTTGATGCAAACACCGGACGGGAAATTGTCCTTGCAGAAGAGGGTCAGCCATATGTACAAACTTTCTCCGGTCACTAAAATACGGGCGAGACTGAAAATAAAAAAACAAGTGTAAGAAATAAGTTTATGAGTGAAGATAAATATAGATACAGGCGAGACTAAAGATTTACCCATGAAACTAAGTTTTGCTCTCCTGGTTTTTTATTAGAGTCTATTGCCCTGCGTCCAGTGATCAACTCCAACAAAACGACACCAAAGCTGTAGATATCAGATTTGAGAGTTAATTTGCCACTCATCGCATATTCCGGCGCACAGTACCCATATGTACCCATTACTCTGGTTGAAACATGAGTATTGTCTCCAACAGGTCCCAGTTTAGCAAGTCCAAAATCTGACAATTTTGGGCTGAAGTCATTGTCTAACAAGATGTTAGCAGACTTCAAATCTCGATAGATAACAGGCGGATCTGCTTTACAATGGAGATACTCAAGGCCCCGAGCTGCTCCAACAGCAATCTTCATTCGAGAACCCCAACTTAGAGGTTCTTTGTCATGGGGAACATCTGAAATGATAAATAAGTTATATACACAAAACTGTTACTTCTTTAAGTTAGCATAGAATAACCCGAGTTCAAAACCATTCTCACTAGGAAACTAGAAGCTGCTTAGGGCCCCCTACTACAGAAAATAGTACTAAAATCTCAAAGGAAGAAAACAAATACTAACAGGGAAGCCAGTTTTCTAAAAAGAAAATTGTCTTTTTCTTTAGGTATAAAAAATTCTTCAAATCCTATTCTCATTAATAATATATAGCATTCAAACATTGGAAGATCGAGGTCATTGTTGTCATTGACTAAACTAGGAAAGCAAAGTCAAGCATTTTACTCCAGTGTTCTACTGTCACAACTCACAACACTCCTTTACACAGTTGACCCATAAACCAAGGTCAAGCAGCTCTATAACAGTCCAATTAAAATTCAATCACAACAAATCTTCCATTGAAAATGAAAGTGGAAAAAATATTTTCTTTGTATACCGATATACTCTTTTTACAAGGCCATGACAAAATGAACTAATTTTTCACAATAAGAAAACAAAGTGAACATACAACGCACACGAATATTTGAACTCTAGATAAATTAATTGTCAAAAACACAGGTGAAACCAATATTGAAAAGCCTTCTTCTGCATCATAGCTACTATTATAAACTATTATTAAGTGGCAGCACATGAGAAACAAATAAACAATAAAAAGTTTACCGAAAAGATGATCTTCAAGAGATCCCTTAGGCATGTATTCATAAACCAAAAGCCTTTGATCTCCATCAGTGCAATAACCAATCAACTTAACAAGATTAGAATGATGCAGCAGACTCAGCATAAGAACCTCAGTCACAAACTCCTGAAAACCTTGACGCCCATCATGACATAGTTGTTTAACAGCAACAAGCTGCACATTCAAAACACAATTCATTCATTCATGCATTCATAAACAATTCAAACGAACCGAAACCTAAAAATTAATTCACGTCAAATTCAAACTTGCCTCGCCAGTTGAAAGACGGCCCTTGAAAACTTTTCCAAAACCACCTTCCCCAATCATATTGGATTGATTAAAACCCCTTGTCGCAGTCGCAAGCTCCCGAAAACCAAAACTAGCCGCAGCAGTTCTACTTTTCCCACTCATCACACTCTTCCCCTTTCCCTCTGAACATTCTCTCTTCCATTCCCCCTCTACTAATCCAAAAACCAAAATCAAATCATCGTTCTCATCCAACAAAAAACACACAGTATTTAAGAACTAACCTAACAGTAGTTCTAAATTTCAATACAGTTTAATCAACAGTAATAACAACAAAACCAAGAATGTCTATAATTATAATAATAAGAGTAAGAATAATAGTATTATTTAATTAATTAGAATTAGAAAACCCTAATTTATCAGTACCTGATTGATTCGTTCCACCATTCCCTGTAAAAATCACACAGTACAATCAATAAAAATAAAAATAAATAAAAAAACCAAAATTTGAAAAAAAAATTAAAAAATAAAAAACAAAGATGAACCTGTAGTAGTAGCAGATCGAGAACCATTATCAACTTCAACCCTACTAACATCTTTATTCCGACGAGAAACAAAGCAAGAAAAACAACTCATCTCTCACAAAACCACACACAGCAACTCAAACTAAAAATTCAAAAATTCAAAATTAAACAAAAAAAATTTCAAAAAAAAATTAAGATCTATGTCTCGGTCACACAGAGAGAGGATCTAGCTAGCATTTATCCTCTCGTGAACTATGATACGATGATGATGAGATCAATGAACACTGATATTTTTTTTCTTCACGAAAATAATAAACAAAAATATTTAAAATATGATAAATTAGGTTGAAATATTATTATAAATGAAGGAATTAAGGAGAAAAGAAAAAGTCTGAAACGGAAGGTAAAAATCACGAGACGCGTAGAAAACAAAAACAAGCCGAATTTATTTTATTTTGTTAGTTATTACTAATAAAATTTAATATAAAGTTCCACCGATAGTTATATAAAGATATTAGATGCTGAGACGTTGATTTGAATATATGTGTTTATATGTGGATTTATTATTTATATGTTTTTTCTTTTTTTTTTCTGAATTTATTAATAATTAATTTAGAATTAAAAGAGTATTTTTTTTAGCTATGGTATAATTCGGATTTTAATTTTATTATTATTTATATAGTTTTGATTTCCACTTTGGTAGCATTTATGTTTAAGCGTGATTGCTGCGAGTCGCTCTCTATGCTACTGGATCGGTCTTGTGGGCATTTATAAACGTTACGGTCCCAGCTATCATTAATATTTTTAGGTGTTTTGACGTTTTTGCCCTTGTGATTGTATTGGACTTTTCTATTGTTATGGCTTAATTTGAGTCTCTAACCGTTTGATAAAGTTTTAAATGATTCGGTGGTCCCGTGTCTTTAAAAATAATTGGCCTAGAACGTTAGATCTCTTTTTTTCTTTCTTTTTTATGGAAAAGAAAAAAGAAAGTACGTTAGCTAGATGCCCTTAATATTGTATATTTTTTAAATTATTTATGAAAGAAAAAATATTTAAAGTGTAAAAGAGATTTTTGTTTTTTACAATGATAACAGATTTGTTAGTTCATTTGAGCTTTTTGACACTAAGGTTTTTGTTTGGATGGATGAAATTGTATAAGACAAATATAAATTTTATTTCATTCTATTATTTATTCTGATGAAAATAAGTCAGGTTAATAATATAGGTTTACGGATTTAGTCTACACAGACTCAAGTCAAACCAAACGTTTTTTAAAATAGAAAAGACATAGGTTTTTTATAAGTCTATTTAAGTAAAAGAGGCTAGACCTCATTCCATGAAATAAATCTTTTAAATCTAACATACATATTTATTTAAATAAATATAAAAGAAAATATTTATTATTATTATATTATGTTTTGTACTTTGAATTAAAATACTAAATAAAAATTGATTATTTTAGAGAACTTATGAAAATAAGATGAAAACAACTTATAAACAATGTTATATGTTATTTTCATAAGTTATCTTAAATAAATAATCTCAGGAAACTTATGTTAATAAGTAAGTTAAAATGGTTGAGAATAACATGTTAAGTGTGAGTTGAAGTCCCACATTGGTTATAAATGTTAAAAGTTAAGCATTTATAAGTGGGAGAACTCATACACCTATCACCTTAAGGTTTTAGGTGAATATGTGGGATATTCATGAAGAATAAGATTTACATCAGAATGTATATATATACTACAAGCTAGGAAAGACCAAGGCATACCAAACTACCCTAACAAAGATACAATAAAATAACAATAGTAAACAAATATAAACATGGAGAAGGAGCTTCTTTAGAAGAAAGAGAGGCAACATCTTGTTTCTTACTCTTTCAAAGAAAATCTTTAATAAAAAAAAGGGGGGTGCTGGAGAAATAACCAGGTATAGGTATGGAAAACAACGTGGGCCTTATGAGCCCACCCTCCCTAGAAACCATGGCACAGTTAACAATCAGAAATAGGGGTGGTGTTTATGAATCCTTATGGGCTCCAAGGCCCATTCATCAACAAGAAGAAAGTTCAGCTAAAAAACTTTAAACAAAATAAAAAGGTAAAAAGGTTAAACATCAATAAAAAACACAGTTTGTCACAATGGATACTCATGTTAATCGCTTTTTTAAAAACAAAACCATGTTTTAGCATAAGCCAGAGAAAAGACATTCAAATGCTACAAGGTTCGTTCCAATCTTCAACCTAATCGCGAATCTCGATCTCTCTTTCTCATTTAACTCTGTTCCTTTCCAAAAGGATTGAATCAGGTTTGCTTTCACTTCTTTCAGCTCGAAAATCTTTCTCTTCTATTTGTTCGTTTCGATTTTGTCCTTCTCAGATAGTCTCACTCTTCTTCTTCCCTTCTTCCGATTCAGTTTTTGGGTTTGGATTGTGTGATTTTGGGCGTTGAGGATTTAAAAGAGAAAGGTTTATGATTTGGGTTGTACGTGATTTGAAGGCGTTTAGGAATGAGTTCAAGAATGGTTGATTTGGGGTGAGGTTTAATGGGTGTGAGGTTTTCATTTTCGAATGGTTTGAAGGGTTTTGGAGAGGATTTCTAAGGTTTGGGTGCAAAATTTGTAGGGTGAGCATGGTCGAGCGCCCCTTGTGAGGGAGGAAAGGATTTTATTTATAGAGAATATTGAAGGGTGAAATGGAAAGAATCCTGAGCTAGATTTGATAGTGTTTTGGATTGGAATGTCATTGGAAAAAAAAAGAGGTGTGTGACGCGATTTTGCTTTGTCACTTGCAGGATTTGTGGGTGGTTCTCTTCGCAGCGCACAAGTCATGACATTCATGTGGGGTCGGGTAAAATTGTGGCATTGTGTAAGTGATAAATTCGTTATGCTATTATGACTCTATTTACTGTGAATTTTGGTAAACAACCGCTGGTCTATCAATTTGGCATAAAATTGACTAACTCGCAGGATCGACCATACTAAATCCTAGAACATGTGCTAAGTATGTAAGGGATTTTAAGTTGAATTCTACTTTCGACCGGACCACCTCTTAGAAAAGTAAGATCATTTAAGAATTAAAGACAATAAATAAGGAAAAAGTAAGTAATGCGTTGAAAGTAAAGGCAAGAATGTAAAGTGCAATGATGTAGAAGCTTTGAAAAGTAAAGTTGAAAGTAAATTAAAATAACAACTGTAATGTAAAGGCGAAAAGACTACCGCCAAACTCCACGTTCGACCGTAATTCTTTTGAGAAATAAATGACTTTTGAAAATAAAGACGTAAGTAAGTAAATTGCTTGGAAAATAACTCTAATCAGAACTCCATGTTCGACTAGGGGATCTTTGAAAAAGTAAATGTGCAGAAAAATTATAAAGAGCAGTTTAAATGTAAAAACTGAAAGTTAAAAGTGGCAAGTAAGTTGTAAAGACAAATTGCATTGATAAGAAAGGATTTGGTGTCGTATCACGTACATTCTCGTTAACTCGTTTCTCTACACGTGGGTACTTTGAGTTGTATGAACTAGTACAAAAATGAATGAACACCTCTATTACATAAAATTAACACATATTTATAGTGCTATAGAATAACTACTACATGGCGGTTGAGACTTCTTAGCATGCTCTTTTGGTGCTTCTTTGCTATTCCAACCGCTCACACGTTCTCTTTTGCTTGATTTGAATTTTGAATATTTAGTAATTCCCTCCATCTTTTTTCCTTAGCATGGTCTTCGTCGAGCATTTTTCAACACTTAGCGTTTTTTGGCAACTTGGTCCATCTTTCTTCGACTTGAAGTTTTCCTTGGTTGGGTCGATAACGTCTCATATACCAAATATTGGTAATTTTTACCTAAGATAACTCTGGTATCGACTAGCGTCGAAAATTAGGAGCCAACAAATTGCCCCTAAAAATTGTCCTTTCGTCAGTCTTGGATAGGAAGGTCAGTTTTTTCCCATCGTTTTTGACGCGTATCACTTTGCATGGCTTTGATTGAGCTCTCACTATTTTTTAGTGGCCCAACTATTCAGTTCTTTTCCTTCCACGCTTATGACATCACGCCATTATGATAAATCTTTAAACGTCTTTTCAACCGTATTTATCATTACTTTGTCTTGAAAACATAAATTTGTAGTCTGACCATAACTGGTCACACGCATCCTCTTTCTTCAAACAAACACGCGTCCCACTACTTGGTCATTTTTAACGGTGGATTTCGCTACTTTGGGATTTTCAAACGTTTATAAATACTTCCTCTCACCGTTTTGTGAAATGTTTTACTCTCGAGAATTTTAAACGTCCTACATCTTTCTTCAGCTTTCTTCATCACGTTCTTCAGAAAGAAAACTCATCTCACTTTTAAACACCAACAATGGCTTCTTCCCAATCTACTGCTCAAGAGAAGAAGACTCAGAAAGGACGCGTTACCCAAACCAAACAAACCATTCCCCCTTTTATAAACCTGGTTGGCCCTCAATTGGTGGAGCACCGTCAATGTGTTCTGGAACCCACCTCTGAAACCGCCAAGAGTATCTATCACTCTCAAGTAATGATTCCTCTGATTGTTTCAGGTAAACCTTATGCAATATCTGGTCCTTTAGCACAAGTTGACATTTTTGACGCACGGCTGAGTGAATTTCTACGATCTTACCGGAGAACTAGGCCATTAGGGCAAAAAAGCTTCCCCGCACCTTTTAATGATACTGTTGACACTACTCCATTGCCAAATTTCAACCTTGGCTACCTTGCTGATGGTAGTCGATTACTGAGAGCCGTTAGTCCCATGAAAGATTTCGACCTCTGGATGGCCAAAGTAGAAAAGTTAAAGCTGACCACTAGAAATCTGTGGGGATTTATGATCTTCTAATGTTGTCGAAGACTCCTTTTCCATACTGTTTAAATTTACTGATGGCCTCGCTGTATTTCTGGGATAGTACTCATTATACGTTTCACTTACCATGTGGGATGGTTTCTCCTACTCTCTTCGACATAGCCGCTATTACCGGCCTTCGTCCTGACGGTATTTCTTATCAACCTGATGTTGATGCTGAAGACTATATCAACATCCCCACCTCTAAACTCACCTATACTCATTTCGTCAACCATCACTTCAACCAAAC